CGTACTTCTCCCGTTTGGCATTAATACGACGTTCAGGTTGTTGCGGTCCACGAGATATCCTCTAGTGTTTTGGGCAAAGACGGCCTGAGCTCTTGTTCGTCACCTGACAAACATCTTCAGAGCTGGGGCTCCTTGAAAAAGCCAAAAGTTGATAGCTCTATAGTTTATCAACTGAAAAGAATGATCGCCTATCAAATTTATTTGATTTAAGTACAAGATAATTTTATTCGGTTGAGTTGTTATAAAATTTTATTTTGTGCTGTACACTTTAACTATTTAGAAATTTTCCCTGACTTGTACGACGGGCCTGCGTTTGAAATGATATTCTATGTACAGCTTTATTATCGAAAAAATAGGTAGCTTATGATACTTTATCGTTTATCACGCCTATTGGAGTTGGAAGTGTACGAATCGCTTTATTTTTCGATCGCTTTATTCAAGATTTTTTATTCCTATTTTTGCTTTTTTTATGCATTTTCTTGATAACGTTCCAAATGGCGACTTTAAGTACTAGCATATAGCACTTAGCATAAAAGGCATTTATCCTCCGACACTTATCGTAGGTGCTTCTAGAATTGATTTTATTTCTAAGTTTATAAGTCGAATTCCTTATATAACTAACTTCTTTGCCTATTTTAGTTTCGACAAAGCTCCTCTATTTAAATCTAATGCTCTTTCTGGGGCTCAGTAGCCTTGTTTTTTTGTCTGCCTCTGGCTACTAAAACTTTTGGTATTTCTCTCGTATTGGCCGGGAAGTTACTACTCAACCCCTCTTTGTTATTTTTTTGTCTTAGGTTCGCACTTCTCTTGAATTAGCATTTTTCGAAGTTCTCTATCCAGCTGCCTCCCGAGCAATTCCTTTCTGCCACGGTGTTGGTCACGGAGACGCTAACGCTCTTCGTTGGCGTCGTCTTCCAATTCCCTGCATCCTCGCTGGGCCGCGTTGGTTACAACATGATCCCAAAATCTGTGATGAAAATGTGAATATTTCATAACAGCGTTTTATTGGAATTATTTAATCAGATAAAAATTTCATGTATTCATGTTACTTTTTTGTTTGTTATTTAAACTATCCATAATTATTTATTATTTTCAACAAAAATTTTTATAGTGCTCCACCTATTGGCAAATATCTAT